CCCCAAAACCCCAAAACCCCAAAACCCCATAAAGGGGAAATAATCTGGAAATCTTATAATAATTAAAATATGGGAGCCCGAACAAGTTATTGAGACATAGAAGGGTGCGTTTGTAAACCCATTTGGTATCAAATAAAATTGGATTGGAGCGGATGGGTTTGTATCTGGCATTGAGACTTAGAACTAAAGAAATCTCAGTGAGAAGAACTAGATTATTGTATGTTAGATATTTTTGTGATAACTGCTGAGGATATTCACTTTCTTGAAAAGGCACAGGAGGTGTTTGAACAAGTATTTACTCAGAAGAAGGAAAAGGAGAAGGACAGGTTTAATCTTAAATGTTATAGCTTGTTAAGTGGGTATCTTAAGAGGACATTTAAGAATTTATTAAGGAAATGTAGAGAGTGGAGAGAATTTAATTTGAGATGGGAAGATGAAGTGATGCCAACTATGGAACATGAATCTGAGAATATGTTAATGTCAGGATTTAAAAAAATCAATTAAAGAGAAAGATAGTTATTTTAATTCTTATAACCTCTTGCGATATTGAGATCCAAAAATGTTATTTGAACTTCTATCAGTTTCCAATGATAATATTGGGAAATTTTCTCTTGAAGAAATTCCGATATCAACAGAAAAGACAATAGAAGGCATCCATCTCTCAACTTTAGAGGATATTAGATCTTGAATTTTTAAGTTGTATTACTTAATTGAGTGAGTTTACAACAAGAAGGAAATATTTCAAAGTTTGAATCTTTCAAAAGAAAATAAAGATTTATCAGATATGGATATTTTTTATTGTAATGCTGATGCTAGTGAAATTGGGAGTACTTTTAAAAGCTTGGACTCCGCTAAGGAAAAGGAAATTCTTGAATCTTATAATAGATACTTGGAAATAAAAGCAAACTCGTTCTTTAATTATGGCTCCGAAATGATTGAAATTTATCAATTCAAAGAGCGCGCGCTCGGTAATAAGAGAAATCCAAGGAACTTATAACTGATGTAAATATTGAAGCTGCCAGATGTCAACATTATGAAAAATGAGATAAAGAATCCTTCTACTACCTTCCTGAACTAGGAATTCAACTCTGATTCAAGCATAACTTTCATATTTCTTATCTGTTGTGTACTGAATATGTCCCACTCTTCAAACTAGATCTCAGACAGACTTTAGAAATATTTCATCTCCTTCAAAATGAAGTATTTAAAGACCCATGCCTAAGAGATTCTGAGCTAAGTTCTAAACTTGAAGATCTAATTATGAAACCAAATTCGCTTGAGCATCCTTTTCCTCATAACCACTTTATTCTCCTTCAAAATGAAATATTGATGAATTGGACGCAATGATATGAGCCTTCCAGTAAAGTGAGAGATTTTTATGATTTTGAAGAAATTTTATTATATCCTATTCAAAATCTTTGTGATTTAGATATTAAAGAACAAGCAAATTATTGGATCCCAACTTCGAACTACTATGAAAGTGATCCTAATTTTATCAAGAATATGCTAAAAATAGAGATTCTCGAAGATATCACGGAAAACAAGTTCCCAAAATACTTGAGGAAGAAACAAGTTGATTCGAAAGCAAAAGAGATTATAAAGTGTTTAAGCAAAGATGATATTCATAAAGAAGTTGAGCTTAATATAGAAAATATTGGATTAAATATTGCTATCATATCTCCACAAAAAAACAAGAATTATTGCTTTACAGATATTGACTCTAACATGCAAATGAGACTAAATTGTCATAACAAATCTAAAAAAGCATGTACAATTAAATATTCTGATGTATATGAAGAGCCATTTGAACCTTCTTTCGACCCTTCTGATTCTGCAACAAAGGAAAAGCCTCAAGAAGAGAATAATTCTATAAAAAATTAGAACAGAAAAAGATTTAGACCAAGAGCCCAAAAGAGATTGCCAACAGGGTGAAAATAATTGTGATGATACCAAAGATAATTCACTTCCCAAAGTGACGCTTGGTAAAGACTCTAACAAACAAAAAATACCTTCAGGATATTCTTTGGGTTCAATAAAGACATCTAGTAATAATTCATGAAGGCTTTTTAAAGGTTGAGCAAATAATACTTCTTCTATTTGCTCAGCATCTAAAAAATTATCTGAATTTAATGAGAAAGAGGAGTGCAAGGCTCCAAACCTTGAATATTCAGGGTCAGATAACCTAAAAATCTCAGAAGAAATTGATCCAATTGAAAAATATACAGAAGAGGACATCAAAGACCTTATTAGGGAAGCTGAGCAAGTAGTTTATGACCAAAGAAAAAAATATGACTTTCTATTCAAATATGAATCTCTTTCTGAATATTTTATAAACAAAAAGTTATATAAATTTAAATTATGAGATCCAAACGATCCATTGCTTTCTCAATATGACCTTTCTGATTTTGATGATTCCAGAGAATTCTTTTCAGATCCAAGGTGGAAAGATCAAATATCAATATCCCCTCAGAATGAAATTATCGCTAAATTAGACACGGGAGAGAATATAAAAAATCTTTCATTGATTGAAGAAAGACTATGTGAGTTTGAGACATTAGAATTGAATATTACTGAAGAGAAATGCGAGACTGTCATAAATTTTTTGTACAATCATTTTCCTGAAGAGTGCCAATACTTTAAATGATCTTTTGCATATGAATATAATCTTCAAACTAATTGCTATTTTTAATCCACTAATCAAACTGAGCTTCAGAGTCACTGAAGAGTTTGATATTAGCCATTGGAAGCTAAGTCAACACCAAATGATGACTATTTTTCAAGAATTCAAACATGTCCGCTCTTTAAAATTTAAGGACTGAATGATTGTTCTTGAAGCTGTGCCAGAATTTGGGAGTTCCCTTGAAGGATTAAAAGTAAAGAAGATAGAATTGAGGGAAAATGATTATGGAGATCACGGCTATAGAGTTAATCACTTAATTGAAGGATTATCCCAGTCTAATGACTTCCTTCAAAATTTTGACACGATTTGTATTCATGGAAAGAAAAATACTGAAAGAACAAGACAAATTTTGAAGGAATATGCTGATTCTGGAAAATTAGACATTAATCTTAAGCGCTCTTACATTGGTTTTATGTGTTCTGACACTGATTTTATGAGTTCGGGCAGTAGTCTTAAGGATTCTGAAAAAATTTGCCTTAAGGATTTTGAGTATCTTGATCTGGATTCTGACTATGATTTTAAAGATTGCTTTGGCGCCAATTTTAGCAATTGTTCTACCTAGATCCTATAAGTGTTACTGAATTTGATTGGGTCTAATAAAGAACTTAGGTCTAATTTCAAAAAGTATTGGATCCAATATAGATATCATTTCTACACAAAAAGACAAGAATTATTGCTTTTCAGATGTTGACCCTAACATGCTTGTGAGACAAAATTGTCAAAACAATTTTAATAAAGCATGCAAAAATAAAAACCCATATTTATATGAAGAACCATTCGAACCATCTTCCAATCCTACTGATTCTACAACAAAAGAAAAGCTTAATGAAGGTAATAATTCTATACAAGTTAAATTATAAAAAGATTTAGATCAACAACCCAAAAAAAATTGTCGACCGGGTGATATTATCAATAATAGAAATCTAACAAATTTATTATAAGCCGAGCAATAGTGGAAATTGTGAGAAATAAAGACTATTGCTATGATCCACAAAAGGATAGCTCTTTTGATCTCCTAATTGAGTGTTAGATCAGCGTTCTGTGACCATCTGGCAACAAAAGTTTTGAAATGATTTGTTTTTGTTTGGTTTAAGGCATCCCTTTATTTTTGCTTGATTAAAAATATTTCATTTTTATACTTACAAGGAGAGTAATAGCAAATACATAAAACTCTAATTTTCCATTTATTAAAAGAATCACGAATGCCTACTTTTTGGATTCCATTTAAAAAGAAAAAGAATGACTTTTTGGCTTGAGCTAGAGTTCGAATCCGACCATTGTCTGCTTTTTGTAAAAATATTAATTTTCTGAAAAAATCTGTTCATTTACGCTACAATTGGAGGGATGCTCTAAACATCACTTTAATAACAAAATATGTCTTTGTTGAATAATAAGATTGAGAATTGGCTTCTTTACGTTCCTCGATAACAGCATAATGATATGTATATTCAAATTTTATAATAATAATTATGAAGATATCAAAGATCATTCACTTTCCAGAGTATCATATGGTAAAGAAGATAAGCAACTTAATTCAGAATTTTCGGATACAGATTATTCTAATTTAGAAATAGAGACATCTAGTTGTTCTTCAAGATTAATTAATGAAAATATATATCCTTCTTCTCTTGGATCAAAATCTAAAAATTTATCTGAAATTATTGAGAAAGAGGAATCTAAGGCTCCAAACTTCGAATCTTCAAAATTAAATAACATAAAAGACTCATTGGGAATTGATTTGATTCAAAAAGATACCGAAGAAGAAATTAAAGGCCTTCCTGATGAAGCTGAACAAGCAATTTATACACAAAGAAAAAGATCTCATAGAAAATCCAATTACAGATCTCTTTCTGAATGTTTTATAAAGAAAAAATATTACAAATTGAAACTATGAGATTTAGATTTTCTGCTGCTTTCGAAATGTGACCTTTCTAATTTTGAAGAATTTAGAGAATTCGCTTCCAATCCAAGATGGAAAAATCGAATTTCAATATCCTCTCTGAATAAAATTAAGGCTAAATTAGACACAAAAAAGGATATAAAAGTTCTTTCATTAATTAAATCAAGGCTATGTGAGTTTAAAGCATTAGAATTTAAGATTCATGAAGAGGAATGTGAGACTGTTAACAATTTTCTGTTCAGTTATTTTCCTATAAGCTGTCAATATTTTAAATTGGTCTTACCATCTCATCCTTGATTTCGAATTAACTACTATTTTAATTCATTAATCAACCTGAGCAGCAGAGTGACTAAAAAACTTCATATTAGCCATTGGAAACTAAGACAACACCAAATTATGACTATTTTTAAAGAGTTCAAACATGTCCGCTTTTTAAAATTTAGGAGATGAGTCATCGACCTTCACTCTGTGCCTAAATTTGGTAATTCTCTTGAAGGATCAAGCGTGAAGGAGTTACAATTGTGGTTGAATAATTATGGACATAATGGCTATGGAGTTGACCAGTTAATTAAAGGATTATCTCAGTCTAATGGCTTTCTTCAAAATTTAGACACGATTTATATTTGTGGAAGGGGAAATCATGAAGAAGCAGAAGAAAAATTAAAGGAATATGTTGACATTGAAAAATTGAGGATGTATCTTATCCTTTAACAATCCGGTTAAAATACTTCGAAGATAAATTATCTAATTTCAATACCAAGCTAAGCGTTTGGGGTTTTGGGGTTTTGGGGTTTTGGGGAAGGGGTTTTGGGGTTTTGGGGTTTTGGGG